CAGAGAAGTGCTGACTGTTCCATTTTATTCTTCATTGTCTTCAGAAACAACTACAAAGACTACTCCTTGGAGTCCAGACTACATTTCAGAATCCAAGCAGCCCTTCATCTCTGGAGGAAGCCGTCCTCAGACTGATGGGATTGATGGGAAAGCACAGGCTGGCATCCCCCAGTTAACAGGGACTCTTGCTGTGGAGATCAGTCAAGGTGGAGCTGTGATCCTTTGACTAAGAAAGGAAACTCTGTTGTCAGGTGCTTCCTGTCACCTGAGTGGCTCAGTGGTGGTCTACCTATTTTCCCCAATGGAATGCCATTCAATATTGTATAGAAATTCTTATACTCTGCCTTTAAAAATAATTTCACATTAGATTTCAATTGAGGGACGAAGTCTTTTAAAAGACTGGCAGGTACAATAAAGTCTAGCTAGATTATTTATTTTTTTAATGTGAAAATTAATATTGTTCAAGTAGCAAATGGCTTTATAAGCAGAGCCATTTTTAGATTGGCTTGTCCTTTAAACTTCAGAGATATTTTATTGCTTAGTATTTAAATCTTAGAGAAGAAATAAATATCACATCTAAGATAATATAACAATGGGTTTCTGAAGGTTCTGGAAGAGAGAAGCCGAGGTCCTGAGGGATGAGGAAAGATGATGCAGTTTTAAGTTCTCGGCTTTCTGCTTTCTCACTGGTTGAAATGGTGGCATTTTTCAGAAACTATCCTGTATTTGAATGTACTCATATCTGATCCAGTAATAGCATTCAGCCATATAGACACATTTCTTATGTATCTATGGGAAGAAAAAGCTGTATTTTAAAACTCCCTAACCTTAGTGCTGAAGCCTGACATATAGACTATGACTACTTTTCTTATAGGAAGGAAAAATCCCTGTTGCTTTAAATGATATGTAAAATATCAGTCATTTTTATACTAGGATGTGGCTGGGCCAGCACTGATAGTTTTTTTTTGTTTGTTTGTTTGTTTGTTTTTTGTTTTAAACATCTGGGTTGTGTTTTGGTTCTCTGAGTAGGAACCAGAGCTAGAGCATGGAGCTAGAAGAGCCAGGCTCTGCTACTGGTGAGCAGATGACCTTTCTGGAGTCCCTATACCTGTCAATCACTATATCTTCCTCACTTGTGAAATAGAAAAAGGATAGGTGACTTTAACTCTCTTTGAGTTTTACAACCATGAATCTGTGTATTAGGTATTTTCAACAATGTTTAGCATTGCATTCACATTCTTCCTATCTGGAATGTTTCATAGTGTTTTTTTCAGGTGCCCCGCCCCCCCCAATCCACCAATAGTAGTCGTCACAGCTACAGGCCAGATTCCATCCAGTGAGGAAAAACAAACAGTTCGTGAGTCCATGAATCCGGGTTTTTGCCCCGTTTACTTATCTGGATGATGGGCAGCTCCACCTTCGCTAGGCGGAGCCCCGAATTGTAGTCAGGAGTCCCTCTCTGTTGGGGAACAGTTAACAATGTAAGCAAACAACTTACCTTTTCTAGGACTTGGATTTCCAGTGGGAATGGCAAGGCAGCACGCCGTGCTCTGAGGCCTCAGTCCGATGGTGCCTTTGGTAGCTTTCTGTGCGCTGGGGAGTGGGTGATGGTTACGGCTTTGTGCATGAGCACAGTCCCTGTAAAGAACCAGCTGAGTCTTTGGGCTCTCAGGCCCATGAGATGAGTGTGGGCGGTCAGAAACCTCATGGTCATGCATTTAGCACTGACAGTGGCCAGATCATGGCGCTGCACCAGCTGTTCCCACTGCACTCCCCATGCTCAGCCCAGATCATGGCGCTGCACCAGCTGTTCCCCACTGCACTCCCATGCTCAGCAGGCAGCCGTTGGTGTCCTGTTACTTAAGGAACCATTTCTTGACCAACGGTGAGGAAGTTCCTTGAAGAAGATGACTAATACACTTTGAGTCAGAGGACCATCCCTTCAGATATCATGGGGGCAGATACCATATCACATTAATATGAATTATACAACTAGCTCCAGATAAAAGGGGAAATAAATTGTTATGATATTATAGGAATATGTTCGATAATTATATATATAATTTTGAAGAAGAGTTTATAGATTCTTTAGAAGAGATTTAATAACATTATTTTTAAAACATATATATATATATATTCATATTATTAAAGAATATAGTTGGGTGTGGTGGCACATTCCTTTAATCCCAGGACTTGGGAGGCAGGGGTAGGCAGATCTCTGAGTTTGAGGCCGGCCTGATCTATATAGTGAGTTCCAGGTCAGCCAGAGCTACATAGTGAAACCATGTCTCCAAAAGAAAACACAAGCAAAAAGAATATATACCCATATTATGTGAGAAACTGTCAGAGCTCATGGTCTGTAACAAATTCCCATTCTGGTATAAAATGAAAAAAAAAATGAGGTAAACACCTATTTCCGGGGCTGGCGAGGTGGCTCAGCAGTTAAGAACACTCCCTGCTTCCCCAGAGGACCAGGGCTGCTCTCCCAGCGCCCCTGGCAGGCAGTTCTCAACGGTCTGTGACTTGAGAAGATCTGACCCCCTCCTCTGGCCTCTGTAGACACCCAAAGAGACATGGCATATGTTCACATAGAAGAGACACACCCATACACATAAGTAGAGAGTCTTTTTTTAAATGACCACTTTGACATTATCAAAGAAATTCACCTGTGTCATTTTGTTTGGTGGTTTTCTTGTTTTTATTACTCATATTCTCTTCAGCAGTGTGGAGCATCTATCTATCTAGGGCCTTTATAAATACTGTAATAGAATTAATGCCACAGACATTTATCTGTTTCCTGTCATGTGCACTGTACCGGCACCAGTTTCTTAGGATGTTTGTAAGAATCCATCATCTTTTACAAATCTGTTCAGTGAGGAGCGAGTGCCTAGGAACAGCACTCATCTGATCATCTTTAGGAGAGGCACAGGTGGTGGGTTGGGGTTCCGGTGTCTCTAATGACGGTTTGTATAGACACTGGCGGAGCTGCCTCTGTCCAACTTACATAGGGAGGCGGTGTTCCAGTCAGTGCTATGTAAATATAAAGGTGGTGTGTCAGAGCCTTGGGAGTAGGAAACAGTTAATTGCACCAACTCCATGTGTATTTGAACACTTGCTCTTCCTGCATGTAAGATGTGTTCCCCAGTAACAGAGCAGACAGTTTAGTGGCTTTCTGAGGAGTCAAGTCAGTAGGTAGGAGCTACAGGGACATAAATCCCAGATTCCTGGGTGTGAAGGACAATCTGCAGTCATTAGAGCAACCCAAGAGTCCCCCCAGCTCCTTGGGAAGGGGCGAGTTCAGCAGTACTGGGTGACTGTCGTTCCTCCCTGGTCGAGTGGCTGGGTTAATGGAATTGGAAGGCAGGCCATTCTGCAGGTTTCGGTCAGGGCTTAAAGCCTGTGGTGTGGAAGGGTAGAGAGCCAGTGCCCCTCTTCATATAGAAGTGCACGGTCCTTTCTCCGTCGTCCTGTTGTGATGGGCCCTAACACATCTGCTGGTAATGCTCATCATGATTCTGTGTTCATCCATCCCTGTGAGGTCTGTTATCTTCTCGAGAAGAGCCCCACTCCCTGGGCAGTGAGTAATTTAAAAACGGTCTTCATGACCAAGTGGAGAGATGGATTCTGGAATTATTCCAGTTAATTCTCTAGACTTTGGTTTTCCTATTTCTCTCTTCCTCATTGATGTATCCCTTGTATTCCTGAATCACCAGTTCTGGAACAGGTAGTTGAAATTAGTTAATAAGGCTCGGTGACTGAAATCCTAAGCGTTTGCGATTCATCAGGCCTGGGTCTTAGAACACGATTTTGTCCTTTTCAGCCGTTGAATGTATTACTTCTTCAGTCCTTCTCTGTCAAGTGTTCTAGCCACTTGTCCACTGTGGCTGCTCCACTCCTGAAATGGCCATGGGCGGTGGGACCTTCCTTCTTGCCTGCAGCGGTTCTCAGAGGCTTCCTGGGCTCTTGCCCCCAGGCGTTCTGGCGTGCACTTGCTGTCCACTGTGACTGCCCATTCCTGGTCTGGTACATCGTCTTGTTTCAAATCTCTCAGTGGTTTGCTTTTGCTCTTTAAGTGCCCTTACACTTTCATTCTTCCTGAGTATTTGGCAGATGAACGTTGGTCTTACCCACCTCATGCCCCTGTGAATTCCTTGTGTGCCCATCTAAAAGTCTTTATTTTTAAGATTGCTAGGTTAGTCTTATTTTATAAACTATCTTTGCATGTCACAGTTGTTAGGTAGCTTTCATGAATAAGATAATTTCTGAAAAATTTAGTGAACCCTTTGTGATACTTTTTTTACATTATCAACTAGCTAACATTGACCCTCTTCACTAGTCCAACATACTATTTAAAGATTGTTTGGCATAATTTATCCATTTAAGGAATAACATGGAAGATGATTTTTCGAAATTTAAATATTTTATGCCCTCCAGTTGCCTGAGTATTTTGAGTGTGTGTATATTATGATATACAAAAATACAAATTTTAATCTCTTTAGGCACCTCTTTATTAGATACAATGATAGATCTAATGTATCAATAGATTGGTCTATAGATAAGTAATATAAAACAATCCATATTGGCTAAGCTTTCTTGCCCTTTTAGGAGTGGAATGGTTTCTTCAAATTGCTCTCCCACAGCCCAATTACATATTTTACTGTATGTATTAGATTTCTAGACCCCCCGCCTCCCTAGTTGGTATCTTGATCAATTGTACATTTGCTGTTAGCATTTACTATTTTAGAGTGTTGAACTTGAAGTGTAATGTAAAGGGCACATCAGACTCTGTCGTCAAGGAAGACGGACTTGGTGTAAGTGCTTCCATGTGATCTGGAGAGACTTTTGTGTTTCAGTCCATCCTAGCCCATGTATAAAACTTCATTCCTTCAGAAGGAAGTGACAGAGTTCTTCTGTGTGTTGAGATGGCTGAGCAGGTTCTCAGCCTGGACCACGCAGGAAGACTAAGGCCCATGGCCTCCTGTGTGCAGTGCAGTGACGTGTTCAGCACAGTTATACTGCAACAGGCCTGTGTGCAAAGATCAAACCAGATGCCTCACTGTACTTAAATAATAAAGAATTCTGTACATGCCTACAGGTTGAATTTTATTTTGTTTTATTTATTTTTTGTGGTGCTAGAAATGGAACCCTAAGGACTGGTGCATGCCTTGTAAATGCTCTACCACTGAGCCACATCCTCAGCCCCAGGTGGAATGTTGAGTAGGAAAAATCAAGGTACAGTAGTAACAAGCTTCCTGACGGTGGACACATAGTACACCCTGTATGCTAACTCAGTAGTTCTTAGAAGTGTCTAATTTAAAGGGTGAACATGGGACATGTGCATATTACATTGGGTGTGTTTGTTTTATGCCACATTAACTTTTTTTTTCTCTTTAAGCCTTTGAATTAAAAGTCTTAGTAGTTTGGGTACAAAAGAAAATAAAAAAATTGTTTTCAGTGGAACAGAACTGAAAATGAGTGTATCGGAATAACTGAGCTCATTAAAGAATATTACTTACATTTATTTTTGAAGGAATTGCTTTGAGTTTGAAGTCTACTCAGTTTGAAAGTGTGGCACATTCTCCTTGAGGAACTAGACAGACCTCTGACTTCAGTCTTATCTTTAATAGAGCAGAATGCACAGGTCGCAATTTTGGAGGTAATAAATGAATATAAATTTTCACAAATTCCCTTTTTTCTGGAAGTGTTCCCCCCCACGGTAGACAGTTAACTGCTTTCTGCTCGGCTCTCCTCCTGCCTCCTCCTGTCCTGGGGCATAAACCAAGGGTGCGGGCACACTGCTAAGCAAGCAATGGGCCACTGAGCACCAGCCCAAGTGAATTATTTTTAAGGAAGTAATTTACACGAAGAGAGATTGTCATAAATGTTTGAAATCTCAGGCTTTTGGTTCTGTTTAATGTTGTAAGAAAATAGCACTGTTGGGTCCAGATTACCCAGGATTTACTGAGACAGCCAGCATGTGCCACTGATGTGTGCTGTACAGGAGGCACTTGATGGTTAACAGTGTGCTGGGCTCAGTCACCGAGTCATGGGAATTCTAGAGCCAAGTGTTGTTCATCATTTTTCCTTGTGTTGACTGTTGGCATCTGAACACCTGAATGAATATTAGCTGTCTCTTTATAGATTACTATTTTAAAATATTTATTGCAGATGTTCATAGAATGCTCAATTTTTGGTGCAAGTTATATACAAAGGCATATATATATATATTTAATAACTGAGATGTATTATTTTATTGCACAACTTATTTCCAAAGCAAATTTACTTTGTGGGTGTTTGTCTTTTGAGATTTTTTTTTTTCCTCAGAAATACAAAAAGTAAACCTGTCTTCCCTTCTGGCCTGAAAGAGGCCTTCATGGTAACATTAGCTTTTCACTTATTTTTGGAGTAGGCAAAATTAAAGACATTTACAAATTTACAAAACCAGTTTGGAGTTTCCAGTTGAATCATCGGCGCTCACATCTGTACTTAGTGTTCAGTGTTGTGCTGGTCAGGCTGAAGGCATCCTGCCTCAGTCTCTTCTTTTCCTCATTGTACTGAGCGTGGTCTTCTGTAGCTCATTTTCAGCAGTCAGTCTTACAGAGAAAGCCATTTTAGACTTGGAAGGTGAGGGCTCTTTGTAAAATGAATGTGTTAATAACATCCATCTGCTAATCAGTGAATTAGGCTCAGGTCCTAGAGAGGGAAGAGGCCATCTAGAAAGCTTTCCCTCAGTCAAGGAGGAAGAAGAAAGTGTGAACTGATACTTGTCATGTAAAAGCTGTGTTCCCATGACTTTTCGTATGCTGATTTTGTGTTATTCGTTACCCTCTGTGATGTGTAAGTGAATGTAGAGAAAGATTTAAATTTTCAAATGAAGACAACAGTTCCTGTTTCTATTTTTACAATTTAGACAGTTTTGAAAACAGATGTCCTATTAGAAATTGTATTTTTAAGTGCAAATAAATCAATTTGAAAGTCATTACGTTTCCTTTTCCTTCTTGTAGAAGGCTCTATGTTATTAGATGCATATTTAAGTTGCCAGATTGTTTTTGGAATGCTCTATTTTCGTATTGCTGTAACCAGTCTACCTACAGTGTGCAATTGATTTGTTATTTAAATAAATGACACCTGATGGAATTACAGTCTTGTTCCAGTTGGTCTTCATGTGAAAGCTGGACATAACATCCATTTGGCTGGCCCGTCATTGTCACGTGATACAGATGTGACTCTTTGTTTCTTGGAGAGACTTCCCTTTTTCTCCTTCCAACCTTTTGGCAGGTACGAAGGGCCTTTTTAAAGTCACATTCTTGGCTGAGCCCTGAACTTGAAGGGAGAAATGGGACAGATCATTTGCCCCGAGGGAGGGTCTGCTGTCTCTTTCATCTGTGTATAATCGTTTTAAGTAGCCCAGGGGATTAAATTAGCTGCTGACGCGTCCAGTTGAAGCATCCATTGCAGGAAAGTGGACAAAGGGCTGGCCTCTGAAAAGCAGGTATGTATTTAGGTTAGACTTGTCTAGATCATTGCATGAGATTTCCTTACCAAACCACTTAGCCATGCCGAACTCCACGCAGATCTGATGTAAAATAGGGCTGACTCTCCTACCCGGTCAGTGTGAAGGAGGGCTGTCGAGGGACTTGAAGGGAACACGGTGGACTAGTCCAACATCAGATCCTGGTTTTCTGCACCGCAAGCCGGCTCCCCTGTCTAGAGGAGTACAGTGCAGATGTGGGTTCGGGAAATAAGGATGTGAGGGTGATGAGCAGGTAGCCTGTCTGTGCCTTGTCATCTTTGGCCATTCTAACATGTCCTTTGGAATTTGGAGAGACCTAAATATATATATACCTAGATCTTGGTCACTCAAATTTGGCTCAATAAGCCATCTTATTCCCTTTGGGTAAGAGCGCTCGCCCTCCCTCCCTCCCTCCCTCCCTC